AGGTATAGACTAATTATCCCGTGTCTCTGTGGATCGACCCTGCTTGCCTTGTACTACCTTTTAGTGCAATACAGTGGTGTTCTTTTGGAGTATATCGTACCCCTTTATTTGTTGGGTCTGACACGCCTAACAAATTGGCGCCGTTGCCGGGGAGACGGTGTTACTAATTGTTTATGCCAAGATTTTTCCGTACAGGTACACCATTGCCAATTGATTCGGAGATAGAGAAGACTGCAAAGAAGTTAAGGAAGCAAGCCAAGCTTCGTAAGAAGCAACCGGGTTCCGGGACTTCTTCATCTTCTAACCCTCCAGTAATCAAAACCAACACCAATCAACAAACAAATCACAAGGAAGCAACTAAGCAAGCACCAAGGGCAAAATGGTCAACCACCAAAAAAAGCACCAAAATATGATAGTAGAGTGCCCAAGACAGTCTTCCAATAAGTGCAGGATAGCAAACCACAAATTTTATCAACAACTTAACATTACACTATTCAAAATGATTTAAACTTAAACCGAGTAAATTTAAGAATTGCAATTGGATAGCAAACCACTCCAAAAATGGTACAGAGATAAAAAAAAAAATATGGTACATGAAAATCATCCGAGAAGCAACTCAACATTATTAAAGTGAAATGCTAGAAATAACAACATACTTGTATTTGTTTTTTCTATTTTTAACATCATACTTTACACTCCTTCTATTATAGTAAGAAAACAAAGAAACAAAATCTCAAATTCATCAGTCTTTTTCATGAAGTAGAAATAGTGTTTACCTATGAGAAGGTGGTGGGATGGTGAACAACAAAACCAAATCAGCCATATACAAAACAAATCTAATTTTCCACTTGCTCCAGCTCAATCTCGCAACATCTTTAGTCCATATGTGGTGAAAGTACAATGTTTTAATAGATATCTTAAACAGATTGGTTAAATGTGTCAACAAATGAAAAAACAATCATGTTCAGGAACAAACCATAAGTCAAAAAAAAAAAACAACAAAAAATGAAAATAAGAACTAAAAAACTTTGAAATTTGATTAAACATAAAATAAACCCATGAACCATAAAAATACGAGTAACATTGTAGAAAGAAGTTTGTATTATGCTATCATGGGTGATGTAAGATCTAATCTGAAATACCCTTGGGGTTCATGGACACCAACATCAATGCTTTTTTAAGTCTTTAAAGCTCATATTTTTAACCGTTTTGAGAAAATATAAAGGATCTGTGGAGATTTGAAGCTAAATATTAGTTTGTTGACTTTATAAATTCAAAATGAAAATTTAATATTCAATGGGTTGGAATAAATCGGTTCAAAAATGAATTCATGTACTTGAGTATCAACAAAGCATTGTCCCTGAGTAAATTCCAGCTCATCGTTCTTTTTAATGCATCTAAACTAATATAGTATGCTTAACCATAATGATTGTTTCCTGGAAAATAACGAAGAACAAAAACATAAGAATAATGAATTGTTTTTTATTTGAAAGTATCACTGTTATAAATCATAGATGAAAACATTTTGGACCTAAAACAAAAATTACATATTAGTAAATGCCCAACCATATAAATGTAGAAGAAAATAGAGAACCAATCACAAATTCACAACAACCAAAAGCTTTAATAGGAAATTATATCAAAATTGCTTTCTAGTTA